CATAACTGTAGTGTACTGCATGGGTTTTGTTATGTTGGCATCAGTTTGTAATTATTTACAGTTAATAAACTGAACTCTGTGCCAACCAATCACTGAACTTTATCAGCAACAATCAGGGTGTTGGTCACTGAAGTCTGATGTCTGCTCCACAGTGTTCCTCATTCCAACAGATCAACAACAAGTGATAGATCAAGGCCAGAGTCAGAGATGCAGTGATAGTATACTGCAGCCAAATACATATATTAATCTGTAATGTCTAAATTAATATCATATTCATAATAAATATGGAGGGTTAATAAGATAAGATAAGATCTTTAATTTGTCATTGTACAAGTACAACGGAATTACAATATGAACTAAAGGTGCCAACGCGCAACAACAAGACAATATAAAAACAAGAAATGGGACTTAAATAGACATGATAGGGAATATGTACCTAATAAATAATAATGGACATAATGCTGTTCAGAAATTGTCATTATTTCATTACAACACTAGTTATACTGTACTCTGAAGTTCTTCCATGTTATGGCTTACAGGTGTGTGCTTTAAAACGTAAAAGTCACGTAAAAGTGAAAGTTATTTTATGATCATCTGTCTTCAGAGAGCCAACATGTTGTAATGTGCTCGCAAATCTCACAACACGTATATTGATTCATGAACAATAAGAGCTAGAAACTCATTTCTATACAAATATACTTTATTTACTACTCTTTATTATAGTATAGTAGGTTCAGCAAACTTTTTTTTACAGTTGTTTGCCCCATTTTATCTTCACTGTCTTGGAAAAGGCTTATACATAGTCACTAATGGATTAGCAATACATTTTGTAAAAACTCTATAATGCAGATTTAAATGTTGGTGATCCATTAATTAATAGGTTTCTCACTTTTCACTTTTTTTCCTTCCTTCACCTTTGGCAGTATATAAGGCGCACATATTCCAGTGGTTCCACCCGTAAAGCTGTTATTAAGTAGATCCTGATGTATACAAGAACACAGAGACACACCACAGCCTCACAAGCTGCTACATGCAGTGACCAGAATGAATATGTGGTATTTGAGCTCCTGTCATTGTTTGGTTAGCTGAAAGGAATCCATCTTTCACATGCCACCTTTCAAAATAGTGACTTCACCCTGGTTTGGGTGTCACAGACAACACAAACAGATCACCATCTGAGTATTATGACAGTCACTCCAGCACAAACAAAAAACATCTTGAAAAGCACATAATTTGCTCAAACAAACGTTTAACCACTTGTCAGAGTAACAACATATCAGCGGCTAATGTGATGTCAACATTGGTTTCCAGGTGATGTACCGTATGAGGTTATTACGTTTTCCTTTTGTCTATTTGGTGAAAATAGTGCAGCACAACCAATGAAACCAGCGGTTTGGCCTGACACTTTGCAGTAAGACCATCAATTATACCAGTATGGGTTGTTGAGTTCAACATGACTGCCTGATGAATCTGAGGGAGTGAGTAAAAGGAGAAAATATCCGCACCGTGGAGTAGCACTATGTTATAATTGCTATTAAAAGCATAACATAAAGTTGAGTTTAAAGTAAGGGTCTATTCACCTGAAACTTTGCACCGTCTCTTTGCAATTATATCCATAGTGAAACCCTGATGTTCCAACCAAAAACCCCAAAAGTTGGTTCTTCAGAAAGAACCTCAATTACAAAAAGTAAATACAGATCCACTATCTTTCAACTGAGTGGCTGTAAGGACCAGGCATTATTTGTTTTCATAGAGAGTACCCCAAAAACAATGGTTTCTATAGGCTGTAAGGAACCGAAGTGCACTCCTATGTAAAGTGCTTGGATGAGAGAGATCTTAAGTGAGCATCTTTCTGCCACAGATGTTTAAATATATCACTCCTATCTAAACATAAAGGTTACAAAAATATAATTAAAACAATATACAACATTTATATATGAACGGACAGATTAGGCTACAATGCACCCTGATATTGACAAATGACACTTCAACACCTGCAGGCACCGCACCTTTGAATACAAAGGAAACATACGCCACCTGGTTGTCTCAGGTGAAATAGTCCCAAGGTTTCTGCCAGCTCACATTTCACAGGTGAGAAAGTTATAAAACTGCACTGAGCGTGTTTCCAGTTAACATTATCATTGTTTGTTTCTTATATGCTCATGGTAAAAGTTGTATGATCACAGTTTTAATATTGACAACAAATATATCACATTATAGTGTTTTGTGACGCTCCAAATCTTTTTTAAGCATTTAACTCCGCCCACTTGGGCTGGTCCTGAGGTGAGCCGGCTATAAACAGCTGCTCACAGAGTTGTAGGTGAGACTGACTTCAGCACTCTGGCAGGTATGACAGGTCAGCAGAATGTATTCGGAGTAAATTCAAAGCTCTCCGCGTCTTGACGAAAATAAACCGGACTTTACGCAGAAAGCAAATTGGATAGGTAATATAAAGCGGAACATACTTCAAAGACAATGAAGTTGGAGGTGCTGTGTGGTAGCCACTATAACACGAAGCATTTCGAGATGTCCAAGGATGCAGAAGGGAGTGTGCGCTCTCCCCTTTCTGGCGAGGAGGAGCTGGGTTCGGATGGAGACTGCGTGGCGCACAGCCCTGCACCTGTTACTCCGTGCAACAGCGGCACATCCAAGCCGTACACTCGGAGACCCAAACCCCCGTTCTCGTACATCGCTCTCATCGCCATGGCCATCCGGGACTCCTCCTCTGGTAGTCTGACTCTGGCAGAAATAAACGACTATCTGATGAAAAGATTCCCCTTCTTCAGAGGCAGCTACACCGGCTGGAGGAACTCTGTTCGACACAACCTGTCTCTGAATGACTGCTTCCTCAAAGTGCTCCGGGACCCGTCCAGACCTTGGGGAAAGGATAATTACTGGATGCTCAATCCTCACAGCGAGTACACCTTTGCTGATGGGGTGTTCCGGCGCAGAAGAAAACGCATTGATAAAAAATCAAACAGAGAGCCAGAGGTGTCCGCAGAGGAGCCGCCGAGCATTCAGCAGACTGCCCCCGCCACCAAGACTGATTCATGCGTCAAGTTTACAAGTTCCTTTGCGATAGACAGCATCCTCAGCAAACCTTTCAATAGAAACTCAAACATGGGACATTTACCTCACCCCCCTGCCCCCACCTGGCCGCACTACACTGGACTAATGATGGCTCATTTGAATACACCTGCCTCGTTTTCATACGTCAAGTCAGCCTGCTACATGGACTCCTTTTCTGCGCATGTGCCAAACGGCTACCAGTGCAGACTGGCGTCGCAGACAGTCCTACAATATCAGAAATAAATGTTTATTTGATGATTAACAATCCTCATTGTGGACTGATGATGGACAAAAAGGAGGATGAAGAGTTTACTTAATTTTAATGCCAAGGTGTTACAGAATTGTTGTACCGTTTTAAGCATTATCAGATTTGATATTTTATACAGAATTGTTTGTTATAAATGTTACTGAACTGACTTATTGTTTTTTTTAAAACGTGATATAAAAAATGCACTTTGACTGTTGTGTCTATTTCTTTAATAACGGTGTGCTCTTTACAATGAAATAAAATTCTCACTGTTAATGGTCTGCTTTGTATTGTCAAAATGTTCTTCTTGTTGAGAAAAATAGGAGAGTTTGAAACACCTGTTACCGGTGCGAAGGCAATAATAGTTTTTCGGGCGTGTGTTCATGTGACTCCACCTTTTCAAATTGTTAAAGAACTGTTAGGAATCTGTTGCGTGGCCCTGAGTCAACAACAGCATCTCCCTATTTCCAAAAGTGTAATGCTTAATGAGGTTTGCCGTATGTTATGCAACGTTTGTAGGAGGTTAGCTAGTTCTCCTTTATTGATTAGGAAGTACAGGCTCCTTAGAAAAAAACATGAAGGCCCTATGTACTGGCACATACTACTACTACTACTACTAATAATAATAATAATAATAATAATAACAACAATAATAATCATAATAATTGTAAAATTAAAATGATTCGAATACAGTCTGTATTCTCATTCCATTCCTCAGTATATCATTTAGAATGCAACAATAAACTCCCTTATTAGTATTTACTTTCCAGTGTCGCTCTCTACTGCCGGATAGGGGCATCCAATATTTATGTTTTCTGTCTGGTGCTGCAAATAGCCCTCGCCTCAGTCACCACACATGCGCAGGAAAGGGTTTGTACAATTGGTGCATCCTGAACGAACACAACTTGAATCCACAATAGGAAGAAATGTATTCCAAGTAGGCCTATTCTTCTGAGGCTAGAAAGTAAATTTCCTTGAAACCAGCTGTGCATCCTGGACGCAGCGGGGCTACACGTTTGATGTTGCTGACATTCTGGGTAGATTGTGTTTAACGTTGCTGGTGTGGGAAATTATTCCACGTTTGTGTATTGGTGACTTGCTAATAGCTTGCTAGTAGCTTCAACAGACATAAGTGAAACTAAACTAATGCACACAAATTGTGCACAAACAATATATTCTAAGCAAATTCTAAAACTATTTCTAAGAGTTCCTAATCAGTTCATTTCTCCAGGGATATAATCAAGGCTCCAAGAGGTAAACTGACACTAGTGCACTGTGTGTGGTTGGCACGCTCTGATGGAAAAAGCATGCTTCCTCTCATGTCAGAGATTTAACCCTGAACAGATTCCAAACAAATGAACACTGCATGACTTTTTCTCTCATATACCTTAACAAAGTAAAACTAGCCATAGTGATGTTTTTTTAGGTATGAGAACACATTGTCATGTGGAGATTTATTTATGAACGTTTTTTAAATGATTGTGCCAAATATTAGTATGACAAATGCATTCAGAGGTGTTATGGAAAGTAAGTCGTGGGAGGAGATCTGTCTTACTCCACTGCGCTGTGTCCGGCTTCTTGTCTGGATCCTGGCCAGATGGGGAGGGAGTTCCTGGCGATTTCTTGGAGGGATTTGGGGGGATAGAGGGACAGAGAGAGATTTAAGAATTGATAGGTGGTCGAGTTGTGTTTGGCCGGTGGATATGCGCAGGCAAAGTCGAGGAGCTTTATTTCCCCTCTCTTGTGGGATTATTGCCAGCGATGGACAGAGAGAGTAAGGGGGAACAGGGCTGGTGGTTTTTGATTTTCACGGTTATAGACGCGCTGAACATCGCACACGTAAACTGATCGTTTAAATATTAAATAAGAGAACATTTTTGCACATTTAATTAAGTGTTGATCAACCATGACGACCGAAATCTCCAAGCAACATTTGGATCCATCTGATGCTCGCTCAAGCCCAGCTCTGAATGCAGATCTGAGCGCGCAGCCAGTGATGGAGAGCGGGCAAAATGCATCACCAAAATGGAAAAAGGGAAACTCTGGCATGAGGCGCCCTGAAAAGCCTCCCTACTCATATATCGCGCTCATTGTGATGGCAATTCAAAGTTCACCGACCAAAAGGCTTACTTTGAGTGAAATCTATCAGTTCTTGCAGGCCCGCTTCTCTTTCTTCAGGGGATCCTACCAGGGATGGAAAAACTCCGTCAGACACAACCTGTCTCTGAACGAGTGTTTCATAAAGCTGCCAAAGGGTCTCGGTAGACCTGGTAAAGGGCACTACTGGACCATAGACCCGAGCAGTGAGTTTATGTTCGAGGAGGGCTCTTTTCGTCGCAGACCTCGGGGGTTCCGGAGAAAATGCCAAGCTTTGAAACCAATGTACAGGATGATGAATGGTATCGGGTTTGGTGCATCCATGCTGCCTCAAAACTTTGATTTCCAATCACCTACAGGCTCATTAGCGTGTCATAACAGCTACAACATAGACTTGATGAGTAATACAGTGCCAGGTGGATTCGATGGACTCGAAAGGGGATATCACGTCCCACAAATGTCATCAGGCTCCGGGTCATCGTACATGGCCGCATGTCAGGTGGCCTCTAACGCGGACTATTGCCCGGACAGCAGCAGCAGCCCCCTGCAGTCCCCCCCAGCGATGGTATCCACTTTGGACTGTCAGTCTCCGTATGCAAATGCAGCTTCACACTGGAGTTCACCTGGTGTTTCTTCATACATCAAACAGCAGTCGTTGGCATCAAGCAGCCCCACTTCTCTGCACACGGGGATGTCACCTTACTCTCTGGATCAAGGCTATCTGCACCATAATGCACGAGACTCCTCTGACATTTCAGGTAGAGTATTAAAATAGGCATAAGCTATGTTTTGTATTTTGTGTTTCCTGCATGTGTAAGTCATAAGGATCAAAGGCTATGATTTTAATTTAATTACAGTGATAAGTTATCTTATAGATGCAAAAAGTATGTCCTAATTATTTACAAATCTATAGAAATTAGGGTTTTACCTTTTATTTTCTTTGTGTAATGAAGATGCATCAAATGTATTCAGGAAAATTCACGTGCGTAAAACACAGAATAGTATCCAAAATGTGCATTCATTGTTCACACTTTGACTTGCAATTTAGACCATATAGCCCCTCTATATGGTGTTTCACATTAATTTAATCTAATTTGATTGAATTTTTACGGGTGCTTTTTAAAGAAGCCACTGTGTTATAGAATTTATAAAAAAACAGGCACAATAACACAATACATGACAATACGATTTAAAGAAATGAACAGCAAAAGCAAAACTATAAAAACGAAAAAACGACATGCTGTCCAAAAATATACTCTCAAGAATGAATTTAAATATTTTAGGTGCAGCTTTATTCAGGCCTTTTACATACATCAGAAAAGAAATCGGTAGAGGGTGTTATGTTTACTTATTTCGTTCAATTCTATTATTGTTCATTATGTTCACTGTGTATTATTTAGGCAATAGCTAAATAAAGTGGAACAACTTCAAAAATAAACCTTATTAATTTCCCAGCATTTAACAGATGGCTATATTAATGGTAAATAAACAATGTAGGCCTACTATTGTTTAATTAATCCATGATACTGATAAGAACAGAATTCGGGTTGCCATTTTGTAAAGAAATCCACTTGATGTTAAACGTCTAAGGGAAATGCTTTATGTTTTTTGTATTCTTAGTCAATGAGGAAGGTTTCGGAAATGCACTGCATCATCAAAATTGATTTTCAATCATAAATGTTTCCACAATTTTCTTAGCATTTAGAACTGCACATTTGAATCAGAATCAGAATACCTTTATTAGTCCCACAGAGGGGAAATTTGCATTTGATGGAGTATTGTAAGGACAATCTAAACAAATAATACGGACCCCTATATTAATGCATACTAGATGGTTACTTATAAATGAAACATAATACATATTCAATGTTATTAGGTATTACCAACATTTGTTTTAAAAAATGTGTGTTAAAGTAGCCTACCAAAGAAAAAAACTAAAACTAAATCATCCACATTCACATTCACTATATGGCAACTCAAAGGTTGCTCTTACAAGTGGCTTATCACTGATCAATGGAACATTTGTCAATTGTATTTAATATAAAATAATAAAGCCATACATTATAAACATGATGTAAAATGAGTTTTAGTAAAAAAGAGTCACCAACAAAATCACCACGTGCTAGCTTACAGAATAAAATCCTGTTTACAGAAAAATATTTGACCTCGTGTATCCTGTTTGTTTTCAGCAGGACTGTCCCGATACAGCCACTCAGCTCCTGTGTGTGACAGGAAGGACTTCGTTTTGAACCTCAATGGAATCTCTTCCCTGCACCCCAGCACCAGCGGCTCGTACTACCATCAGCTTCATCACCATCACCAAAGTGTCTACCAGGACGTGAAGCCATGTGTCATGTGACAGAACACCTGGTACAGAACTGTCAAGGACTTTTCTGCTAAATTCATCCCATTGGTGGACTCATTTTGGTCAGTGACCCATGGTTATAATGGCGATTTTATCCCAATTTGAGTAATTGGACGTTGACTTATTTCTTAAACGTTTAGTAATGGTTTTGATGGGTCGTTTTGCCACTGTCATAATATGACAGATTTTACATATAAGCAATAAAGCAGTATTCATATTTGTATTATTACAAATACGTTCACGCACCTGAATTAATCTTTACATGCACTATTCATTCTGTGTTCCTGCATTTGCTGAAATTGTTGCTGCAGGCCATTAAAGAGATTTATTTTTAAATGATAATTGGAAGTGATTTTAGCAATAAAAGATTGTACACACAGTTTTCAGCTCTCAAGTTTATTACTATTATTATCAACATTATTATTATTATTATTATGATGGTTGTTGTTGCTTTTTTAATCACCAATGATATATAATCAGATTTATTAGGATGAACATTTTTAAACCAGTGCAGCTTGGGTATTTTTGATTGACCCTTAAATCCCAACTGTGAAAAAGTCTGAGTTTGAATCACTTTTTTGTTAACAAAAAAAGAAATGATTTCAAGTATAAAAACACCTTTTCAAATGTTAAAAGGTTATCAGAGACACTGCCATTGCAAAGAGCAACATCATCACAATTCAGGGCCCTCTTCATTCACACAATGTCTCATTCTCACACAAAAGAATGTAACAAAGGGTGTCTTTATGTTATCATCTCTAATCAGACATTTTGTGTTAAGAAGATAATTTTTTTAAATGATGTTAAATAATTACTTTTTTTATTCAGTTCATATATCGGGGACAATTTGAGTGTACTTTGTGTTTCAAATATTCTAAAAAGACTGCCTATTTAAATTATTGTTATTAGATTCATGACTTAACAAAAATATATACGGAAGAAATATGCAAGTTTTATACCCAACTCTGACCTGGAAAGCACATAAAAACAATCTTTATTGTTCAGTTGTAATGGTTTTCACGTGACTCTACCGCCACCTAGTGGGTATTTAAACTTAAAAGATATAATTCAAACTACGTTATGAAATTTAAGAAATTGGAGATTAAAATTATATGCAGAACATTCAGTTGGTCATTGAGTCAGGTTAGAATATTAATAAGGGTTATTATGTTTTATGTTTGTTATTCATAAATACATCCATTAGATTGAAATGTAACTGTCCCTCTGAGAAAGCCCCCCTAAAAAACTTGTGTTACCTGAGATAAAATAAGGATTTCCAAATAATTCTACGCTAATCTAATAAAATATGTAGTCTTGTAGATGTACAATTTCAAAGAATAATTGTACACAAACATGCAATTTGACTCAGGAAATGTGATAAGTTAAAGGTGATTCATTACAAAAGGTTTCAAGCTCAATTATTCTATTCTGTTAATCTATATTAATTTTGGCTTTTAAGGACTGGATTTTCTCCCAAATGTCTGACAGTCATTACACTTGAAATTCAGAGCAGTCTATACTCAAAGCTCTAAATCAGAACATGTATAAGTATATTAGTATATAGTATTTAAGCAAGCAATATCTGGAATGGACTGGTAGGGTCAAGGGTGACATGACGTGCAAACGATTGAAAACAATCAAGACTCTTCAGTCAAAAAACTGTAGCAGTAACACACGTATGTGTCATCAAGTCAAGTGATAAGAAAGTGATAAGAAAGCTACTGAAAAAAATAACTTCAATCAGCAGCTAATTTTTTAAGGAAAATATTATATAAAAAAGAAAGTAAAATCCAATAACAAGGTTTGTCCCATCAAGTGAAAAAATACAATTCTGTATTGATTTGAAGTCACATGATACGGAAAACATTGAATAAAATGCCCACATTTTTTGTTAAAAAACTAAAATGTATTTAATAAAATAAGTCTTATGAAATAGAAGGTGGACTCAAGGTCTTATTTCTCGAGTGTATTTATACAAAGCTACATTGTTTGTCACAGAGTGAAGTGACAAACAAACTATTGAAACAATCAAGACTCTGATCTAAAACGGCTGAATTTCCATGAAAATAATTTTAAATAGGATAAAAAACTAAAACCCTATAAACACAAGTCCATGGATGCATGTCCAGTGTCATTCAATTCTGAATAGATTAAGAGTAATTTGATCACAGGACATGGAAGCTATTGAAAAGAAGAAACAAGTGAATTTCCACAAACAAATAAACTAGAAAAAGGTACTAAAATGCAATAAACATGAACGTGTTGCACTTGTTCAGTATCGTAAAAATTTACACTAATTTGGAATTACTGGGTCCCATGACATGGAAGCTAATAAAAAAAAATCAAGACTTATCAATAAAAGAAACCATGTTTAAACACAATATTTGTTTAAAAATAGAAGAGGCCCTGCAATCCAATAAAATGAGATGTATCTTATTTGTACAGTGTGGAAATAATACTGGAATTGATTTTGGAGTCAATGCATCACATGAACATAGCTTGTGAAGAAATGAGCAGATAACCAGCAGAGGTTGGGATATATGTTTTTAAATAATTCCAATAACAGTAGGGGGCGCTAGCGCTGTAACCTTCCTGAGATGAGACAGTAGAGAAAGAATGTGCAGCCGGCCCACTGGGTAAAAAAAGCATGGTAAAAAGGTGGATTGTCATACAGATGCAGAGGACAAGAATGCATACTAAACGTTGGCCAACAGCAATGGGATGAATGAATTAATGAATGAATGAATGTCTAAAACATGATCCCAGAACAAGTTCAAAAAGTCAATAAAATGCATGCACTGCAATATATGTTTGCGTAGTAAAACCAGGTGTGCAAACTCATGATGCAGGAAAACAATCAGCTCAGTGTATTAGGAGAGAGGAGGACAACATGATGATGTGTTTGGGTTACCTGGACACTGGATGGAAGGCCTGTGCAGGTTGACAGCTGGGCGAGGAGGCTCAATCCGAGGACGGTGGCGGCCTTCTGCAGTCCTCGGATTGCTGCCCGGCCAGAGCCGGCCAGGTGGAGGAGACGCGCAGAGACATGGCCAGGGTGGACCGGGGCCTCATCCACCAGAAAGGAGAATCGGTCAGAGAAAGTTAACTGAGTGAGTATGAAGTTCACAATCCTCTCACAGAGTCTCTATATAGCTCACAAAACAGCGCAATTTTGAGCCCATGATGGTTAAAGGGAAAGTATTAGGCCTCATTTTGAGGTTTATGTTTGGCTGGTGTTCTCCTTCGTGAGTGCAGTATTGGCCATCTCCTCAAAACAGCTTTAGAAATCTACCTAAGGTGACTATAATCCTCGATCCACAATGAAAATAGACTAGAGTGTAAGGGGGACTAGATCTAATTGTGTGTCACAAAGATTTCGATTAAACAGGGTAAACACTGGATGCAAAGTCAGTCATCTCCTTATAGAGCCTCTGATGGTACAAACGCCGACACATGCGCAGTGTCACCAATTTTGGAGGAAGAATTGTTGGGAAATGATTAGGTACAACAATCATCATTACAAACATGAAGTCCTAGTAGCCTACATCTGATTGTATGGACAGACAGGGAGATGAGTTTGTGGTTGATACAAAGGATCATAATGGATTCCTGATTAAGCTGTAACTATGAATCGGAAAAAGGTGCAATGTGTAATGTTGTCTTGCAATTTGCTGTGTGTGTGTGTGTTGTTGTTAGTAAACTCTGTGCCATGTTTCAAAAGGAAACAGGAAGCTGTACAATTGTTGACAAACCCAAACCTGTTACAGTTTTTAATATGTTTCTGCCTTAGATGTGTCTGTTTATAATTCATTTCGGTACCACTTTACAATAAGACTACCCTTATAAAGGGNAAGTGAACACTCAACTGATTCACTTATGAAGGCGGGCAGTGAGAAGAATACTAGTTTGTTGTTTGGAGCTAAAGTATTTATTTGCTCTATTGAATCACAATGTCTTGTGATTCAATAGAGCAAATAAATACTTTAGCTCCAAACAACAAACTAGTATTCTTCTCACTGCCCGCCTTCATAAGTGAATCAGTTGAGTGTTCACTTTTCTGCTTCACGCGGCTCTGTGTAATTGAAAAAGTGTGATTAGAGCACATGACCCTGCTGCCTTCCTCATATATGTCTATTTGGGTGTGCAGTGGGCACATTGGTGCATATTTGCTCGAGTTAAGTCTGTATGAAGGCCTTTTGTATGTATCTAATCATGTCACTGAGTGAATGAATGCCCCTTCATGCTTTTATCTCACCTTTGTGTGTTTGGTTGTGTTTCATCATAATAAACTTTGGATGTATTGAACCCTCTAGATGATAGGAAAGGAGGTTTCAAACTTCCTTTATAACCTCCTTTAGCTTAGGAACCACTGGACCTCCCTTGACGAAAGGAGAGGAGAAAATGCTGCCCCACAATGCCTTGCAGCCGCAGCATTTGCCGTCACTCAACAGTCGGCCGTTCACGGAAACAACCGATTATGACCGAGAAATTATATCATGAACGTTACGGTGCTTATTAAGCATTTTAAAACGTATGTGGTAAGTTGCCAAAGTGCTTTGTTTTGAACGTTCATCAGTATTATAATCAAAAAGAGAAATATGAACGTTAGTTTTTACTGAAATGATCAAATAAAGTCAACATTTCACTGAGCTGTGTGGGGTTTGTTCAACTTTTAAAAGATGTTTGAATGGCGATATACACAGTGATAGATGGTAAGGACTTACGTTTATAATAAATATATTTGTATTTATTTTAAGATATTTTCATACAATCATACGTATTGGGATCATTTGTATTAATGTGGACCGGAGGGAGAGGGTGACGAGCATAAGTTTCACTTTTATTTTTTATTTCAATTCCAACTTTGGTCATGAAGAATATGTTTCTCTGTTGTCCACGTTCATAAAGCATAAAACAACAGCATCAGAGCACGGTGAAGAGTCTCTGAGTTTACAGTAGTCCCTCGTTCTTATTAAACATCCATGTCCGTTGTATAGAAAACTGTAGTTTCCATAGTTTCACCACAGCAGCAGACGCACACAATGACGTCCGCTGGCGCATCATAAACACGTCGGATAGTGAAAGCGCAGTCGGATTCTCTAAAGTACCGCAGTCTCTTCTCCTAAGTCCTTTTGAATTCTCCTATCCACTATCCCTTAACCCCGTGACCTTTCACTCAGAGGTCAAGGAATAGACGATAGGGTTAGACGTTAGGAGCTGATTTTTGGATTATCCGACCGGAACCAAAGACTTTAAAGAGCATTACATCACCATCTGGAAATCTTGTTTTCGTGGTGTGACGCTGGGTAACAAAACCAGTTGTTGGAACAGCGATAGTGAACCCCTGCT